TCACTCAATCTGTCAGGTTACATCTCCAGATTTCGTATCTTGTTTTGTACTGTGGATTATTACGAGACGGAAGATTAGATCTAGATCTTAAAGGGATTCAAGGGCACATTTGCCTTCTTTATGGTCCCTTCAGATTCGTCATCTAAAGTCTGTGGTACCTGCAATTCAAATATATGATGACGTCACTATCGCAAGTACCATGTAAGCAAAACACAAGCAGTCAGTGTCCAACAGATACGCGTACACAGGCCAGCAGACGTCTTTTCAATATCTTTAATTGGTTTAAATGTGATTGAAATGTATTCTATACCACTGTAAATTGTAGACTCCAAAACTTATTTTCAATAGTACAGCAATTAAATGCAATTACCTATTTAGTTAACTGATTTGACCCCAATTTTCGACCAAAATGACTTTTGATACTAATGCTGGGGATAAAGGATAAAATTCTCACGAAATTGACCATATTAGCAGCTTAAATCTATTCAATTCAATTCGTGGGAGAAACATAGACTATTGCTATCGATAATGGATATGAGTGATTGATTTAATGTTAAGTACAGTACAACAGCTCAACTTCATGCTGCTGACACGAGTTTCAGATATAAAATCCTAACCAGGACAGCTGATGTTGAAATGTGAGGGAAGTACCTTTTGGGGGTGACTATTTTCCTTTAAGACGCATTTTCAAAGTAAGAGAGCCAATTGAAAAGGATAAGGCTAATGAAGTATTATTTTGTCTCTTTTCAGAATCTGGTAACATGAGGTGTTTTCGTTGGTTCAACAGACTTCGCACACGTCATCACCGGTCCCGACATGCGATCCTCTGGGCGATCGCAATCACTTGTTTATTCGGTGTATATTACCTGAATCAAAATGGAATCCAGGCTCAAACTGAATACAGTCCGGATAATCGAGTACTTTTAAATGTGGCACCAAACGAGGGAGTGGATAGGGCACCAAAAGCCATCAATATGCCGCCAAATCCACTTGAAGAAGACGTTGACGACCTTGACCTTCGACCCGACCTTGCCCCCGCCACTCTCCATTATATTTGGTGTGGTAAAAGGGCGTTTGAATATAAACATTACTTGGCGATAAAAAGTGCTAACCGCGCCGCGAAACCGGATAAAATATTTTTCTATTATGAAAACTTACCGGAAGTCGATGACGAGGGTTATTACTTGTGGTTTAATCAAACTTTACAAGAAATCGATCATCTGTTGCCAAGGCAATTGAACGCTTCGTGTCCAAGAAGAGGAGCAGAACGATATCTATTGGTTTTAGAAATTCTAGAACAACATGGCGGAATATATGTACCGGAAGATGCTTTGTGGGTAGATTTTCCAGTGCACTTGCGCATTAACCCGTTAGTAACAGGTGTAACGGCGCGAAATCCAACCGAGTTTCTAGACGGCATCATCGTTGCTAAGCGAGCAGGTTTCAAGAAGCCTACCAATACGGAAGAACTTTTAGTTGTCTTGAGTCTTGGAAAACATGAACATGGTGGAATAAAACCGTGTGTTCCCATAGAAACTTACGCAAATGACGCTACTGGCGATTTTATCTGCGTGACTGTGACGTCATCTTTATTTCCAAGGGACATATGGGAGGATAACTCAAAGTTTGGCATGTTAGCGCGTGTTGTTGCCTATGGTGTTACGAACATAGCGGTAAAACATAATCTAAGGAATCCCATTCCTAGAATCGCTCATTATATCTGTCTGGAGACGTGTGAAATCAAATTTATCACTTATCTCAGTATGCTCAGTTCCGTTTACGTGGCCGGACTACATAAAGTATATTTACACGGTGTTCGAGAACCGTCTGGAAAATGGTGGCAAAATATTAAGGACGATAGTCGTTTTATGTTTGTGTATCGCGAATATCCAGAAACATTTCATGATAAATCTGGAATGACCAAACATCTCGCGAACGGAATTATGAAATTGGCCATTTTGTTAAAATATGGCGGCGTTTATCAAGACCCCAATGTGTTATGGACAAAGAAAATTGACGATCATTATTTCGGCTATGATGTAGTCGTTTCCCCGGATTGGCATCTTCATGGCAGCTGGCCAGATTCAGTGAACCACGGAGCTGTGATGTCAAAACGAAATTCAGAATATTTGATGCGTTTTAGATCTACATTACAAAAACATAAACTGAGCCCCTTTTGGTACGTGGATCATTTTATAGCATACCGAATAATCGAAAAACATCCAGACTTGGTCAATTTCGACCGCCATTTTCAAGTGAAATGTTTAAATCATAATTGTCATCCAACATGGCAGCCACATTACCGCTCAGGTCTGCTGCAGAATAAACCGGGTGCGTCTTTTAACTGGCAGAACGATACCATGAGTATCCATTGGACTGATACTTTCCCCGAGTTAGACATCGATATGATCAAATATACCAGCGGTACCATTGTTGACGTCAGCAGAAATATATTGGCGACTGCCGGGATAGATATTCAAGGATTATGAAAAACCGGAAGTTAAATATACCATCAGTATTTGGGAGTTTAAATCGTGGGCGAAATTATATCAGGGGCTTTACGTATATATTGCCTTCTATAAACACCCGGTGTTCTTCAAGTCTGAAAGATGACGTTGCTGATGACGTTTTCATTAACTCTAACGTTGCTAAGGACATTACCATTTAAAATGACGACGCTGGCTGACGTCATAATTTAATGACATTATTAAAGTTGGGTGACGCAAAATACGTCATAAATATGAATTGACGTGACGTGGACAATACAATGCAATAGTACCCTCATACTGTGCCAAAACTGTTAAAACTGAACTTTAGAAAGATGGGATTTGCTTTGTGTACGACTGTTTCTATTTTGCCAGTAAAAAGGAATGTGCCTCGGAGAAAATTTGTTTCATATCAGACTTGTATGAATGATTTGACAACTTTGATTTCGAACGATACAATTCGACGGGAGAACTCAAGTGCCTTTTGGTACCTGAGATTTGTGGGCTACTTCACTATGGGTTATATATTTTTTATTTATCTGTTTCGGGGTAGATTGTTATTGTGTGAATGTGTTTCGTTTCGTCATTTTACTACGTCAACCCCCGTAACGTGATGTGTCACGTAACGTTTGGCCATTTTACAACGTCACCTCTGTGACGGTGACGTGACTTTGCGTAACGTTGTTTCTGCATGTTCGGAAGCACAGATACGTTATGTTCGTATTTGTATTACGCAATGTATGCTATGGAAAGCGAAGGAGACGACATAGTTGAACGCAGATTTCAACGAATTGATAACATGATTTTTGAATGAAGAAATGAATGATTGAATTTTATATATATGTATTTATATTGAAATCTTGAATTAGATTTTTCTATTAAATTGTTTAAACAAAATACTATTGATGTTTTTAAACGGATAACAGCATAGGTTCACGATGATTCTATATCTATCAGCTAGTCCCTGGCCATACCTCTTAGCATTGATCATTCCCGGATTATCATTACCCGTTTACAACTAGGTTGATGGGATAAAAGACTTATGATGACGTATTCAAGGTCCCCATACTTTCACACCCCGACTGAGATTTTAACCCACGACCACCATTTAATCGGCGTAACCAAGCATGTGACGTCAAGATATCTGACTTCATGTAACCAAGCAAGTTCCAGAGAAACTCTTCCTCAATTATTTAAAAAAAGAAATTCCTGTCCACTAAAATAATTTGTTTGATGGATGCAATGTTCATCCTTCCAGGACACCTTATGCCACTTTGAGGCTGAATTCTCAACCCATTATAATTATAATTACATCCGATAAAGAGGGTATTTATTTTCATTTTAAATATCGCGGAATATCATAGATATGTTGACTGTAAGTTAACTAATTTAACAATTAAAATGATCCTTTTAGCCATCTGATCCTTGGTCAAACCTCTTATCCGAGTTATCTTACTCACATTTACAGTTGTGTCAACCGAATCAATGGAGAAACAAAACATAAAAGGGATTAAGAGGTTTTCTAAAAAAACAAAAATATACGTGTATATGGGAAATTGATAGCATTGATTTTCACCCTTTCAAATTTCCATTAAGCGACCTGCCATTCCACTTTGACTGAATGTTTTATGACGTCACTATCGCAAAGGTGCTAATATTATTATCGATAGCAGCTTTGCGATAGTGACGTCATAAAAACTTTTTGTTTGTGGAATTGCGGAAACCACAGACGTCTGACTGAAAATGGGAATTGATGATAGAAGTTTCCGCGACACACATTCTTTAGAATCCCTTTAAATTGTGCACCAAATGTCAAGTTGACAAAGTGGGTCACATTGTCGTCAGGAGTTATAGAAGAGTGAACATGCCCCACTCGGTTAGCCGTAGTGCCACACCCAATCTAAGGTCTGTATATAATCGGGTCAGGGCCACTGAGCTAGTCACTTAGAGTCTACTGATTCAATTCGACTCACCGACTTCGCCCATATTAATTACTCTAATTTGAAAAAAAAAATACTCCCACGACCGAGTGAATAACTTCCCAATTAATGACCTATCGTCATAATAAAATAATAATAATAATAATAAAATGTTTCGTTTCAGTAACCGAACCAATATTTTGTGGGTAGCTTTAGGTTACCTATAAAAAGATACGCTTTTCTGAAACGATTATTTAGTTTAATTATGATTTAACAAACGATGTTTAATCTGCATAATATTTATTCACAGAAATCATATATGCAGGACGGAATGAAGGGAATTTTACCAAGAGAGTGGCATTAGCCTGGTATTTTTTGTCTCTTTCCAACTGTCGAGTGATCTGTTACGTGTAAATATTAATTACGGATTAGTTCAAAAATGAAATAGACAAGAATTACATTTTAGGCCAGCAGAAAAACCGCGTTTCCACTGAGAATTGTAAAGTAAAGCAAGCTTAGAGCCTGCGTTATTATAATTCATTTTCTCGGTTAAAGAAATTCAGTCAAGCGATTATAACGAAAATTTGTATAATTCAGTCGAAATATAATGTACAAAAACATGTTTTAATGTTAAACTTGTTTTTTTTTTTATCTAATTGCAGTCCTGTGGGTTTAAAGTTAAATCTTTAAAGGCCATTTATAGAAGTAAAAGTCTACTACTAAAGTGAAATACTATATAGAATTTACAATCTGATGTAGGCCCTATGGCTTGATTTCTTACTGGTCTCGCTTCTATGCTTTTCAATTCGTGCATTTATTTGCGTATAGGTTAATAACTTGGGGTATTTTTTCTTAATTTTTTAACCGTCTTTCTTTTGATTACAACTGAATACTAGTTTCCGTAACAATTTTTTAAAATGAAATCATACATGTTTGTCTAAAATGAAAAACGTTAGGTCTACCATCATAGGGCCTACAGTTATATTTCATTTCAATTTTCGAAGTTTGGCAAAATCTTGTCAAAATCACCGGCACCAGATTCTAGTAAAAGAAATTCTTACCTCTTATAGCATCTAAATACTATAGTATAAGAGCTTTTTTAACCAGAATCTGCCTGTGGTTCAAATAAGTCATGCCTATAATAGTCTGTAGCCTTAGTCTTATTCCTTCATCGGACAGAATTTTGATCATCTTTACAAAGTCTAGCTCTAACGAACTTTGTCTATACCTTGACTGCAATAACCACCGTTCTTGTATTGCGGAGGTTTGTAAATCCAGCGATTTGATTGGATTGTATACTGATAAATACAGTCAATCAGAACAGAAAGTCGAGTATTTAATCAATAAACCATAATGTTTTCTGTCGAGGGCTCTGATTGGCAGTAGCCTTTTCGCTAGTGTACAATACGTATTCCATCAGTATTGCAAAGTACTGGACACAGTTCTGTAATAGTTTGTGAAGATGAACTTGCAGGTTGTTCGAACTAATTTTATCTGTCACCTCTTGCGATGGAGGTTATGTGAATTACTGCAGCTTAAAAGTGTTTTCAGTTTTCAGTTTTCACGCACCAGGTGATGTAATTTTCTGCATTTCAGTAATCCAAAACGTGTCATTTCCCGCCAGACGATGTTAAAAAGGTGACGTAACTCTACACCAAGTATTGATCATGTTTGCTCTGAAATAACGGTTTTAAAAAGTTTATTATGTTTAATTGTTATAAACGTAGCGGTTGAAATCTTATACTTGTGGGTAAATAATGAAAACCCTTACAAATAGCTTTAGACCGTTCGTGTGAACTCTTTGTGGGTAAGGATTTTGGAGAGAGTTTGTGATTGCCGCTCGCTGTTTCGTTGGTTCGAGTTCTTTGTCTATGAGTGCGAATAGGCTATACGTATGGCTACGGTGCGACGAGGTGCGATGTACAGCATGAGATAATCTTAACAGTAGACAATATAAGTGAATAGGCCTACACTAGCCTAAGAGTGCGGACATGTTTCGCTTCTTCTATCATTCGATCATCCTGCACCATACGCCACATGGTACCTGTCCATCCCCTTTTAGTAATGTTTTGTGAACGGCCCCCAAAAAACTCGAATTTCTTCCCGAGAAGAAACCCCCCCCCCCCCCCCCCGACACACCCCTAGACTGTTACGCCTTAGACACCATAACAATTAGATAAGCATATTTCTATAATTATATACGAAAGAAGTCAAATCTAAGCCAAATACAGCCAGTACCATTGCCCTACTTCAAGTGACAAGTTGTGTTTGACATCTGGTACCAGCTATCAGTGTATTTAGTAACAACCACGACGATTGACTAATAAACTGACTTACATCTGTATCTCGTTGTTTATTTTTTACCACCCAACCGTGAAAAATGTCGTTTCTCATATCCCCCACACGTGTGACGCTGTCTCATTAGAGCTACTGGTTTTGTCATTTTGTATGATTTGAACACCCAATTACGAGTAGCTATTGACACGATAAAAAAAAGTTAAAAAAGAAATTCTCGAGGTAGGGCCCCAACCCACTTAAGTCCATGGGCCACCAATTATCAAGTTTGCCAAAATCAGAAATACCAATTTTTGAGAAAAATTTCACTTCTGGATTAGCAGAAGTAAATTTCAACACGTGATCTTATCATTCACGGCGCCAAATCGCCTAAGCAGACGCCAATCCAATGCATCACCTAGGGCCGCTAATTCAGTCCACTGCATTCCAAAAGACAGTGTCCGGACTCAACGTTAGTGGGAAGTATTGGCGTTTATACACAACCGGAAGTGAAAATGCGCGGGAAAACCTCCTTTTTTGTCAATATACACAGGAATGGTTGGCGTTCTCTTATAATTCTGTGTAGGAATGCAACTGGAAAAAAATTCCTAACAGAACAAACAAAGTGTTTTGCAGATGTTCACGGAAATCGTGGACCGTTGGGTATATCACACCAGCTCTGTCAACTAATTATCTTAAAGATCTCTATTTCCTGTCAGTGGTTTTTGAATCAGAAATATTTTTATGACATAACGACAGTAGAAGATACGCTGCAGTTAAGATTTCAATTTGTATTTGAAAAATACTTTGTATCCCCACTTCACAGAATATGACCAAAAATATGTGTCAGAATGCACCAAATCAAATCAATTTTTCAAAAACTTTCTTGGGGGAGGACCCTCTTAGACGCAATAACGGCTATTTGCTGGCACTTTTGTACTTTGGTCGATTTTAATCATGTTCATTTGACGAAGAATCTATGGCATGAAGCGGCAGCTGTTAGAGATGAAAGAATTAGATGTGGTCTGGAATATTTTTATTAGGCTACTGAAATCCCGTGGAACTCGAAACCAAATATGGTCGGGAGTAATTTATCAACTTCAGCCGCCTTGTTAACTTTGATGGATGTTTTCGTCTCGAGTTAGACCTCTCAAAAAATGTTCCACAAAAGTACATAGGCTACGACTTACTCGGAGTGGTGATCTACAAAGTCAAATGTGGGCAATCCAAACAAAAAAAAAACACCTAGTCAAACTAGCTGCAGTTTAGCATCATGAGAAAGTGTACCTAAAAGTATAATTCAGAAAATCTTGATCATGAAGCCGCAAAGGTCCATTTACAACATTGTACTGCAAAAGAAAAACACCTGTGTCTTACGAGGCTACTAGCTACGATTATCCTGGCCTCTTCTTACGGTCCAAGGATACGTCCTTGCTTCAAGGACAGCCGCAAGGACAGCCGTTTTAAACAAAAGGCGGAATTTGACCTTGAAGCCTAATGTAACGAGTTTCGGGCTATCTGTTTATTTGTGACGAGAACGTAAACAGAAGACTTAATGAACGTAACTAAAAACAGAAACAAAACACCCATAAAAATTAATGAGAGGTGTCAATCAAAATATTGTTGTTAGGTTGTTGTTTGATTTGGCGGGAAGTTTTTCTGTCACTAGGTTACTGGGGTAATATGAGCAGCAGACGTCAGATAGTTAAAGTCTGCTCTACTGATTTACTTCTTATAACCTTGACGATAGAAGGAAGAACGACAGGAGTGCCAAAAATGTACACTTTGTGTCTTGGCCATAATGGGATGTAGCACACTCTGTTAGCCATTGAAAACTATATATGACCTCAGTAGCTTTTTAACGTCGAAAAATGGTGGTGGTCGTTGGTCGGAGTGGGAAAGTCTCTTAACCTCGAATGAGTCGTCGTCCTTTAATTTCTACATATATGTCAAACATAGTTATTTTAAACCATTGTAGTCTGATTCAAAATAGTGATAACAGAGTTATTTCCCTTTAATTAGCTTCGACGTTTCTATAGTCAGCGCTTTGCTTCAGTCAAGTTTAATAATCATAGAGAAGTTTCAATACTAACGTCGTCAAGGAATCTGTCTACCAGCTGGTCCTTGGTTAAATATCATGACAATGATTTTACAAGGGCAATATTTTAGAGACTTTATTTGTCTGTAGTGATATAAATACAAGCTCTGCTAAGCAAATGTAGCATTATGTTTCTGTACAACCAGCTACAAACTTAGTTGTCAGTACTCTACCCATTGTAAGATTGCAAATCACATTGCATTGGTTGATGGTTAGAGTTAACTATATTTTTCAACTTTCCATTCATTGGCTTTCAGTTTCTCACTTTTTTCTGAAACAAAGATCAAAATAGTTTGATAGGTGCCTTTGACTCGGCAATAAAAATTTAAATTCTGTCCTTGAGTATGGTATGTTAAGCTATAAATTCAAGCAGATTTGATAACTATATATATCAGTTTGTCAACAAAAAATCAAGATTCAACATCTTTCAAAAATTTGCGGTTACTTACTTTTTCTTGGGTTTACTCGGACGGGAGATAGAAGGTGGCGATAAGATATCGGTGACTGGGATTGAACCAGGGGACATAAATCCATCACTAAGATGATCGGCCGGTGTTTCTATGGTTTGATCATCTGTTTCGTCTATTGACTCAGATTTACTCCTGTAAAGAATATAATATCAATATTCCCCTTATCGTGCACTACAAGGTGTTGGTGACCAAGTAAGGCAAAATTCCCCTCATTGAACACTGCATGATGTTACTGGTTGTCATTAGTCAGATAGAAGAAGACTTAGGGATTATTTTATATGTAATTGGGTACAGATATCCCTTTTACTCACTGATCCTTTTTACTCACTGATCCCTTTTACTCACTGATCCCCTTTACTCACTGATCCCTTTTGCTCAATGATCCCTTTTACTCACTGATCCCATTTACTCAATGATCCTTTTAAATCAATGATCCCTTTTACTCACTGATCCCTTTTGCTCAATGATTCCTTTTACTCACTGATCCCTTTTGCTCTCTAATCCCCTTTACTCACTGATCCCTTTTGCTCAATGATCCCTTTTACTCACTGATCCCTTTTGCTCACTGATCCACTTTACTCACTGATCCCTTTTGCTCAATGATCCCTTTTACTCACTGATCCACTTTACTCAATGATCCCTTTTACTCACTGATCCCATTTACTCAATGATCCTTTTAAATCAATGATCCTTTTACTCACTGATCCCTTTTGCTCAATGATCCCTTTTACTCACTGATCCACTTTACTCAATGATCCCTTTTACTCACTGATCCCATTTACTCAATGATCCTTTTAAATCAATGATCCCTTTTACTCACTGACCCCTTTACTCAATGATCCTTTTACCCAATGATGCAGCACCTCTTCGATTCACGGCTTTATGCTGTTGATTCTATGACAATAAAAAAACTTACTTGCTATCCTGATGTTCCAATTTTCCTCCGTGACTCCATTTTGATTCCACTTCTGTTGTTAAACCAGACGTTGTTTCTTGTTCAACTGTTATCTCAAAACTTCCCAAACCTACAAATGTTCATTTGTATTATTTCCATAATAATTTAGCAATAGTGGCATTTGAGAGTGAATTTTTATGAGTACAACTTACCCCTCAATATCCCCCTTTAACCACAACGCCCACTCCCTTACCCCTCAATATCTCCCTTTAACCACAACGCCCACTCCCTTGCCCCTCAATATCCCCTTACTCACCATCTAATTGTAACAAATGTTCTGTTTCCCCACCCTCATCATTATCATCTAGGGAAGGGAATTGTATCTCAGAACATGCTTCTTCTTTAATCCTGAAGAAAAAGACCAGGGGTAAGGGGTGAAGATTGTTCACCGAAATTTCAAAACGACCATGATGATTTATGGAGTTCCAATTTGCTTTAATTTTTATTTTAAGCTGATAAAGCCTTAAAGTTAACCCTGATGTCCAGCACGAGCTGTCTTGATGAGGATTGTGAATCTGAAACACATGTCTTAGGGTATATAGCTCTCCTGATGATGATTGTGTATCTAAAACATCGGGTATAAACTCTAATCAATTAGAATTGAAGAATAAAATAGAAAAAATCCTACCTGATGACATGGAAAGTATCTGGTTGTGAAGCAGATGATTTTTGTTGAGAAGGTTCCTGAAGTTTCTCGTATTCCTGAGCCAGCAGGTGGCACTGTCTTTCTAGATTCTCACGATATCTGACAACACGAGTCTGGTAGTAGTCATGGAGACAAGTTATACTACCAAAACCAATTTCATGATAAACTTGCTCTATAACATCCTGGAAACATCATTAACGAAATTCAGATTAGGAAATAAAAAGGTTAGGATTGAAATGAATGGAGTTTTACATCCTACATTTCTCTTGCTACACCATGCAGTGTGCAATCAAGGATAAGGTCTGTTATGAAAGGAATTGAGTTTTACACACCTTTTCTGAATGTGCTGATCAAAATAAGCAGCATCATGCAGTGTGCAATGAGAGAAATTGTTCCAGTAAAGTGGCATTAAACTGCACAGCTTTATCACTGGGCTTAGTTTCATTGTCCCATCCTAACAACTAGACCCTTTTTCCATGTCAGCCCCAAATTGGATGTATCAAAAATAAAAATTGAAATATGTCTGCCAAGAAGACACATATTTAATAAATTAGTTCATGTTTTGTTGTTTAGATAAAAATAAACACTGATACTTACAGGAAAGTTGAGTCTAGAATTAAATGCTGCGTTATCTGCGGCCGCTCGTAAATGATGTGTGAAATTCAAATAAAACTCGTTTAAAATATCAGTCAATGTTTCAACTACTGATTCAGTGGACGCTAAGAAATAAAAGACACGACCTATTTACAAGAGTGGAGTGTAGAACTGAATGAGGGCCTTATTTTCTTCGATATTTCAACTTTTACAATAGATCAATTGTAGAGCAATATAGTAATATTAAAACAGAACCTGAAACATGTTGTTACTCAGTGTGTACAACATGAATAAAATCATGTTTTAGGTTATGTATTAATTCTAAATTGATTTTCTCTAGTAACTTATTAGGGGTCAAATAAACTTATTTAAAATTTAAAAAAAAAACATTATGTGCAGGAAAGCTTCTAGATATAATAAAATCTTACAGTGTGCAATGAGGAAAATCTACAATGAATAAAACTTACTATCAAATCCAGTATGAGCACAAACAGTAGCTACAGATCTTCTCAGTAAAATATGATTAGATATTTCATCTATTACAGGAGGTGGATCTCCAATACCTTGAGCAAATTTACTGAAATTATAAAAAAAAACTCTGACAACACATTGACAATTGCATTTAAATGAAATATAACATCATTTACCCTGAGCTCTAAGAAATAGAACCTAAAGAGAATGGCAGTAACAGTGGAAGAGCTTTATCCAGATTTACTTGAGGGTTAGAAGAGGTGTGCATTATATTCACAATTATACTATATATGACTTAGTGTGACAGAATGATATTTTTTCAAAATTACAAACAAACAGTTCTCTTTAAAAAAAAAAGATGAATCATTTACCTGTTATGATTGGGAGGGATGAATGGAATTGGTTTCAGTGGTTTGTGTTTCTCTTTAACTTCAGGTAACACAGGAATAGGTGGCGCTGCTGGGTATGTTGTGTCACTATCGTTCGCTTTCTACAATAAATAAACTTAAATGAATTAATATCACCATACCTGCAAACTTTTACAGCCAGAATAGGAGTTAAATTTTCTACTTTAACTTTACACATGCAGTGTAAAATGGGGGGCATTGGAAAGTGGGCAGTTCCTTGGTTGATATCCTACCAGACTAATTTAACACATTTTCCATGTTATATTTCCTTAGTCTCTGCACAACCCAACTTGAATGATGTCTCATTTGCAGGATTAGACACTATTTGTATGTTAGCCATTGTAAGCATGACAGAACTTACGCTTTCTTGAGCACTATGTATCAACTGTTTTAGTTTCTTACAATATTGGATTAATCTAATGGTATGCAACGTCATGGGGTCAGTTGAAAATCTCTCTGCTGGTAAAGGACTGAAATGAAAATAAGACAATCAGATAATTTGTCTATGGCACAATCTTGAAAATAGACCAAAAGGACGTGTATATAGGAGTGTTTTCACTGTTTTGTAGCTGATCATTTCATATTGTTGACTCTATGACTTCTCATGTCAATATGACTTGATATCTAACATTAGTTTTCAAACATGATCAATTTTTTTCAAGTAGTTGAAATCATAGTTTCAGAAAATAACAACAAACGATTTCGTCTGCGAGACTATGTTGTCAAAGCGACGTTATTAAATGGCTGCCGATTTTGTTTTGTAAATCTTTTTTTATGTGAGAAGTTTTATATCTTTTACGTGAAATAAAGTAAGTGTCCAATTTTTTCAGATAAATTTGGAATCATATTTGTTTTCAATGTTGGTTGACATCGTGCTACCTGAATTGATTATTTACTTTTGATTTGACTTCTAATATCTAAATCTAACTGAGCCAAAAAATTCTAAAAAAGCAAGAGTCAAAAACCATAGACGTAAGAAGCCATAAAAAGAAAAAGAAAATGTAGTTAGATCTAGGTAATAATTCAAAATTAAGTCCTAACATAAATGTACCATAGGCCTACCCTATATAATTTGTCATCATCATGATCATGACTAAAAAGTAAGACTTAAAATTAAAACTTCTTTCATTTCATTGATTTATCATCATGACTTATAAATCATTGTAAAAATAGTCCAGAGCCTATGTCCTACTAGTATGATAACATTTATTGATTGCAAAGTTCATCGAATTTCAGAAAAATAAAATGGCAGCCATTCTGCCACCTATTGTTGGTCAAAGAACCCATGTTAACCAACCACCAGCAACAGAATATGTTCAACAAAAATCTATTCCACCTATCAAAGGGGGTGTGTTTAAACTTCAACCAGTCAACAAGCCTCAAGGTAAAGCAGATCGGGAGTTGATGAATAAAAGAGTAAAATTACGTGCTGAGCAGCCATTGTTAACAAAAACACACACACAGAAGTAAGTTTGATGAGTTTTAAAATTGTTAATGGTACTCATAGATCATGATTACAATTAACGCATTGCTTATTTTTCTTAAATTATATAAAAAACTTAAAATATACTTACTTTTGACTGGTGCTGGGTATCGTCAATCATGCCACAATACGATACATATCGCGATACATCGATTCACCAATATAACATGCCAGCACTACTTTAAACATATGCATCACATGTTAGCACCTTTCACCATCAGTGATCAATAAAAAAAAAAATGGCGGACCATCAATATTAACTGAGACATTCTAAAAATTAATGTCACTGTCCAAATTCGTCAGGTGCTGTTTAGAGTTAAAAATGTTCACGAACATGCAATGGTTATAAATATCGGCCATCTTGATTTCAGATACAGAAATACTTACATACACAATCTTAGTCTAGACATGTTGGCAGCTGGATTTCATTTATCATTTAAAGAGTTATTTTCTCTGATTAACCAACAAGAGGCTGATAGACAGAGGGCCGGTCCCGAGTCTGTCATGTGGACACAAGTCATGATCATAGACGAGGAGGAAAAATTAGATATGTTACAGAAATATCTCACAGAAGCAGAAACTGCTGAAAGAAAAGGTATTTTTTTGAATCATTTGATGACAGTCACGTTTCTTCAGTGGAGGGGGCAATACCTGACACTGGCCCGGCTTTGGCCCCCGACTCTCAAATTTCCTATCATTTTACAAAGGGAAAGAATTGCCTGTTTAACAGAGTTCCATAAAATTTGAGAAGTGTTTTGTAAAGGGAATTTGTAGGACAGTTCTATCCTCAGTCAATCTATGAAAGTCTGGTGACGTGACCATAAATATGAAGTCATCTTTCTTCATAATTAAATGGTACGGATAATCCAGGAAAGATCATGGCCGAGAGGTTTGGGCAAGGACTATCTTGTATACAGGGTCCTGGAGAACCTTCGAAACCCTACACATAAAGAATTGTCTCGGTTATTTCTTTATTTGTAAGTCCTCCTGCTATTTTATCTTTATCTTGACTATTATAGGAGAGTTTGAGAAAGTTTATAACGCCCGATATGAATTAGCCGTGTATTTTGAAGATTCTGGAGACAAATGGTTGTCTGATCATTTTTATACGACATGTCTCTCTACCAGTACCAACGTTAAGTCAGATGGTGGACGACTCCAGGCTGAGGGAGAACGGAACGTCGGTCTTGCACTGGAAAAAAGTGGTAAGTTTAAAAAAATGGCAGCCTTGCAAGACTTTGTATCTAAAAATTTTACAAGCAATTTTGTCGTAAATGTGTTGATTTAGGAATTTAGTTACACACAATATGACAAATTTGTATTGTAGAATTTTTTGTTTCGGAGTCTGCTTACGAAATATTCTTAAAATTGCTTTAGTAGGATTTTAAATATGGAAACCCTAGAATGAAAATCTTGATGTTTGGTAGAGCTTGTTTAGTTGTTTAAATGTGAAGCACAAAAGAATCTCATTTCACAATATTCTATATATTTTGATAAATGTTCCCTCTTTGTAGATTTTTCAGAATTCACAAGCCCATAATTGGGAATGTTAGTTTATGCTGGCCTTAGAATTGAAAGGAATGTTTTTTTAATTTTATTAGATAGAAATTTCGTATTGACCTCATGTTCCTTATCTTCACAATGTCAAGTTATAACCAACTCTCAATACTTCATTGGGCTTTTTTCTCCTAATCAGGGATTGCAACGATTTGATTGGATTGTACGCTAGTGAATATAGCCCTTGACAAAAAGACTAAACATTATGGCTTCTGGTTTACAGGCTTTCTGTCGTGGCTTCTTTTTGATTGTATTTTCTCCAATCCAATCAAATCGCTGCATTTACAAACTTCTGAGATACATGAAAAGTAGCTAATGAAGTCCAGATATAAGACTCAGTTCGTAATAGCTTGACATTGTGAAGATACACGTTTCCCAGTAGATGTCACCTTCACAGCACCTTGTTTTTCAGGACGATATTTCGAAGCTGCTGAACATTTTGAATTGTATTATAATTTATCGTGTAACCATGACGACTGGATGAAGGACGACGTCACGTTCCATCGTGATGCCTGTATCAATTTGTATCATATTAATTCTGTCATTGGACAGGAATTACAGGATTCTGATCCCGAACAGTCTCTGGAATTTTTACTGAAAGCTTTTAACAAAGCCAAAGAAAGTAAGTTTTTTATTTGAAGGTTCAGAAAAATCAAGGTGACCTTTTAAACACTTAGACCTTTTGAACTCTTAAGTTATATAACTCGCTTGGCCATTTCACAAGCTGCGCAGGTATATAGATGTTTCTTGTAATTATGAAACAGGGTTAACCACAACCTAGGGTAAAAATATCAGATTTTGGAGATGCTCTTTCCATATTCTCTGCATACAATGTGGAACCATGACGGTGAAGTAAGTTTATATTGAGAATTCAAACTTTGAGCTGTTCAGTCAGGCATGTCTGGCAAATAAGGCCAAGTCAACAGCCCTGATTTTGGTATATTAAAATAAGTTTATAGTTGCTTATCTGATGACCATATAACTTTTGTATTTTCCCCTTGTAGGTTGTGACCGTCAGCTAGAAGGCGAGGCAGCTTATGAATTAGGTCTGGCCTATGAAAGAAATGGGGATGGGGAAACAGCTCTATTGGTAAGATTTCACATTTTTATAAATTGACACAGGGCTAGTCATCATCAGTGATCCAGAATTGTTATAGACTTCTTTCATTTCCTTTTTTTTAATTTTCTTGATCTCATACTTTGAAAATGTCCAAGATAGCTTGTTGAGTCTGTTCGCATTTAAACTTTTATTTATGGATAATATTCAGATAGATATATGTCAATGTTATCCTTGTTATTGGAAATATGACTTATTGATCATGATTTAGTTAAATACATAGCTTCCCCTCTTTTTCAGCATTTAAATCATTTCCTGGAGACGTGTAAACGTGCGGAAGATGATGAGGGAATCGGACGAGCTTGTGATGCCATTGCTAAAGCTTACTCTAGGTAAGTATTGACATTCTGATTAAGGACACTTTTTGCTTTGGTTTGTTCCTGATAGATGTACAAACACTTAGAATGGGATCTACAGAATGTTCCTTTGTATTAAAATGAAATAGAGTTTCATGTCCTACTTATATGCATATGAGAATATTCATTCAAGCAAAGCCATGATATTTGAAACCTTGGAAAAATATTGGCATCGTCTTTGATAATTCTTATTATTTGCAGGAAAGGGGAGGTAAAAGAGAGTATACATTATTTACAACAGTTCGTAGAAACAGCAGAACGATCTAAAAAAGAAACAGAATTAAGTAAAGCTTGTCACAATCTTGGTAACTTGTATAATAAACTGGTAAGTTGTATAATAAACTGGTAAGTTGTATAATAAACTGGTAAGTTGTATAATAAACTGGTAAGTTGTATAATAAACTGGTAAGTTGTATAATAAACTGGTAAGTTGAGAATGATGGTTTATTTGTTAATATGAAGGATTTGTGATCTGAACAAAAATCCCTTAACCCTTTAATAAACTGAGCCATATGACATTCATGTTATGTTGATAATGCCTGTTTCACCTGAGCTTGGCTTAAGAGTCCAACAGGAAATGAATAAATTCTTTGGACAGGATACCCTAAAAATATTAGGTTCTAATAGTATTTTTTTCTATTTTAGGGTAAATATGAAGAGGCTGCCGAATATTTCAGTAAAGCGTACAACATCAGTCGATCATTAGGAGAAACAGTATCTATTAATACCAACAGAGTCCAGTACGGAATTTCAATGGCTCATCGTATGATGGCTGGGTTCGGAGCTCATCTAGTAGATATCAGTCAACCATCTATAGAAAGAATTGTAGATTGGAAGAGCTCCAGGACGGATGAATTCGATAAACCTTTCCCAGAACCCAGTAAGTCATCTGCATTTTTTAGGAGTTTAGATTATTAATTGTATCAGTTTTAACTGTATTTCTAATTTTAATGATTTCTGATCGTAAAATGGTAAACTAATGTGACTGTGCTGGATTTCTCCCACATTGCACACTGATTGGCATTCAGGCACAGATAAGTCTGTCAGGCTTAGTATCATACACTGTAATGTAGTATTTACAACTCCATTTAAACACCATTAGTTTAAGATCTAAGAGTAAGACTGTTTCAGATTGTGACAGACAGTTTTTATCCAACCGATGCTTGACGTCCGACAGAACCTTGCCAAAAATGGACATTTGATCTATTCTGTCGGACATGTCTGGAAAAGAGAGCCAAATCAGCAGCACTGTAAAGCTTTGCATTATTTTCAGAACCAATAGAAGAGGAATCCGCGCCAGAGCCTGTCAGTGAGCCAGAAAAACTCGTGGAAGAACCAGAACTAGAACGAGACTCAACCAATAATTCTTTTGAGTCTCAGGAAGACGTGGCAGAAGTCAATCCAAATACAGAAAGGGAAGTAACTGCTGGTACTACTATTACTATAACAACAGAATCTAGTATTGGAGAATAGATCAGTGGGGCCTGCTCGATTGGCAAGTTCTGCACGTTTGGGATTCATGAAATCAACAGGACGTTCAATGAAAAAAGTTATAAAAAAGAATGCATTCCAAGTGTGCCGAAGAAAATAAAAGTGCAGACAGAATTCTAAATTGGAACAGGCAGAACTCACCAATCGAGCGCCACCCAAAGCAATAATCTGTTCATGAAATTATTATCAATTATTCATGGGAATCTATTTTCATGGAAACTGGAAAGGTGAAAGGTCATTTTATCCATGAAGCCATTTTGATGATCAAAAATGCTATTAAGGTCCTTCTGTTGGGTAGGGATGGTCAGGGTGTGCATAGCCACAGCCTTTTTTTAAAAGCAAAGCATCGATCAATTTCAAAATTAAAGATTTTGTCTGAATTGAAACATTGAAAATATGTGGTATTAAAACTTTGTATAAAATAATTTGTATGTAAATAATTTATTTAGTGATATTAGCTTATATCAGTCTAGCCTATTGTAGTAATCTTGCAGTGATTCTGTGATATAGTTTTATATTCAATATAGCTTCCCTTGATGTATTTTTATATCCCCTCCCCCAAGGCCTTTGTTGCCCCCAATATATATTTATACTCCCTCTGCCCCCCTGTGATAGTTTGTGTATGATTAACAATATTTATTTTTGTATATATGAAGAATTTGTTGATAAAATAATATATCTAGTAACTTCTGAGGATATAATTTTTGAGAAAATCTTTTGTGGATAAAGACCAACTGTAATTTGAAATTGAAAGGCTGTAGCAGTCAGAACGTTGGAATGACATCACATCATGGTTACATCGATCAAATGATGATCAGAGGTTATCTCTTAAGGAACGAGAATGCTGGTGACCTTGAATAAGTCTTCTTCCAATCAGTAGGTATCACAATGGTCAAGATAATACACATCTTATACATAGACTGCAATGGCCAGCAAGACTCATGGAAGATTGTGAATGCAGCGATTTGATTGGATTGTATCTCTAGCTAATACAGCCAATATGAGCCCTTGACAGAAAGACTGTAAAAGATAATTATGCATGTAAAAATAAGGGCCTTCATTGGCATTAAATCCAATCAAATAGCTGACCCTGAAACAAGAAAGCGTGTCATTGCAGTAGAGGTATTTGAAGACGTAATGCCTTGAACATTGTGATGAGATAATCCAGAAAGTTCATTTTCAATAGGTTTTTAAGGACCAGCTAGCTTGCTGATAGACTTGATCATGGTATCCCAAATACTGGTAGGACAAATGCGAGTGTGGTTTGGACACAATGCCTCTTGATACACACTCAGCTAATTAATAAAGAAGTTAGTAATTATAGACCCATCTTTATTGTATCACATAGAAATAACAATAATATATATTAGATTCACCATTATAAATAATCAATATCTAAAACATTAAATTCCCATATAACTTAAATAAGAAAAAACTCCAAAAATATGATCCCATATTTTCAATATAAAATTTAAATCAACATGATCAAATTTTTTAACAATTAAATTTCCAAATATTCTTAAACATTAAAGACTCCACAATTTTTCTCTTATATCATAAATTTCAATTTTAGAAATTGTTCTTTAGTAAATCTATAATTTACATATTCTTAATCAAAATATAACATAATTATTCTTGGTTAATTCCTTCATTTACAGTTAATTTTCCAAGATTAATTTCTTAAAACCATGAAAGCCCAAATTAATACCATTAAGTGATTCCAAAATATTAACAAAATTAAAAGCATGTATTTTACACAAAAGCAATATCTATTGACCAAAGCAAAACTACATGAAAGAGTCCATAAATAACGATACTTAAAAATTTTCATACAAACAACTATTATACCAAAATAATGAATTAAAAAAAAAAACTATCAAAAATGGTATCAAAAAAGAAAAACAGAATCCTTTTGTTCAATGCTACATAAATTCCCTCAAAATTTAAGCAAAATCTGTCAAATTGATCAAAGTGAAGCATTAATTAACAATAATAATCATTATACAGTTACAACACCAAAACCAAATTTCAAAAATTCAAAATAAATTGGTATATGGGATATGGGTCATAAATATGATTTCTTTTGATTGGTCAACTTTGGTGAATCTAAGCTTTATAACCTCCATTGACTCTACGATCAACTGGTCTGATCGAGTCTAAAGCTTGACTGATATCGCCTTCCTTCGCTTCCAGTAGACCAGTCAACCAGCCACCTTCATTATTGAATCCCATCGACATCATCTGCTCCAAGGCCTGCTGAATTCTGGGATCTGAAAATATTCAAGTGAATATTATTAGTATTATTAAAGTTTTAGCACAGTGTGCAACGAGGGAAATTTTGGCCTTAATTATCTTTTGGCTGAATTATTAAGAGTTATTGATATGCTCCATATTAAGCTAGTGACAGTAAGCTATTGGGGAAATTTTGCCATAATAATTATTGCTAAGAGGAAGTATCAGACCAATAGAAATGATAAGTAGTCCATATTTTCCTTTTCTGCTCCAGAATAACCAAAGGACAGTGTGCAATCAGGGAAATTCTGCCAGAAACAGCAATAGCAACTGCCTACTCGATAAACCAATGAAATCTGAAGCAGTCATTTGAGAATACCACTGACAAAAAGCAACTGGATAAAAAGGTCACAGAATGTTTTCACTTACCAGGGTGGGGTGGATTAGAAGTGGGGGCAGGAGCTGGAGGTTTGGTCACTATAGGAGTAGCCCCATCAGTTGTTTCCTTGTCACTCCTTGGTTTAACTACAGGAGTAGTAGGTTGGATCTTCTCAGCGGTGGTACTAGCTGAAGCAGTGGATTCTTCAGCTCGCTGTTTCTCTGTCAGTATCAGATTACTCAGGCTCTCAGTTGGTGGAGTTGGCATGATGTCGCCATCTTGGTCCAATACCATCCATTCATTATCCCGATCAGGGCTGGAATCGGCAGAACTCTGGAAATATGAGACAAAAATATTAGGAATAAGCTTAAGGTGTTTAATTGCCTAACTTGGAAGTGATGGCTAACATACAAGGTATAATTCAAAATGAAGACTCAAAGATTTGATTTTGTTTTCCATTTTTACCATCTGCATCATCCTAAGTATGAGCTCCATTTTTGCTTTTGGTTTACATTCCCCTGATTACAAAGCAAGTTTTTCATGCTATAGAGCCTGCCCCCTCCCTCCATAAAGCCTATAGACAAAGCAATAATTACCTTCTTCTGCTCAGTTTGTTGAGGCTGAGCTTCAGTTGGTTTTTCTCCAGCAGTGGGGTTCAATTTTCGTCCTGCTCCTGGGAAGGGGCAGCCCTTCTTCTCCTCACACCCTCCTTGACGTACATTGGGTCCAGCAAATCCACAAGGTCCAGCTGGGCCTCCAAAATAGGCACTAAACCCTGGTCCAAAAGCATTACCAAATCCCATGAAGGGTCCATGGGGTCCTGGTGGTGGTGGGCCATGTGGACCGGGATGTCCATGAGGTCCTTGATGGGCGTGTGGTCCATAAGGTGGAGGTGGGTGTCCATGGGGTCCATGGGGTCCATGAGGCCCATGATGCCCATGATGTCCATGTGGTCCGTAGAAACCAGATCCAGTTGGACAACCACGTCTTCCTCTTCGACCTTTTTTACCACATCCCCCAAATTTACGTCTGCCATTATGGTCAGTCTCGAATGACACGTCAATTCCAAACTGGTCCATCATATTGGTGATACAGTCTCCCCATTTCTTCAAATAATCTTCTTCTTCGGTAGTCTCTTCTGAATTATCTTTACCTTCCTCAGTGGTTGCTTCCTTGGTATTTTCACCACTGGCGTTAGTTTGAGTAGTCTCTCCTGAAGATCCAGGGGTAGCCTCAGTCTTGTCAGTCTCCATGGTTTCTTCAGGGACTTCCCCATTGCCAGTGTTAAATCCACAACCCTCAGGGTGGTTGGTGTGCCACTTGTTCATGAAGCGTCTCATCCATCTACGGAAATGAGGGGGTGGAACGAAAGGCTAAAAGAATAAGAACAATTGAGATAAATATTGGTACCGGTATTACTATTTTATAAACAACAGCATTATAAATATCAATACTGAATGATAAATATCTATTTTTAGGGGGAAACAATTCCATATACATTTCAAATCCTTTCATGGCCTTCCATCTATCTAACTATCTATATTTAGCATATGACTCAGCCCAGCCAATCCCTCCATTAATGTGGGTATACAAAAATTAAATATACTTACATATCGTCCACCAGCATGTCGGGGTGAGGCAATCTTCAACATATCATGTTCGGTATGGAGACCCTTACCCTCACAAGAGGCACACAGATCATAGTCGGGGCACACACAGCATTTATATCTGACCCCATAGACTGGCCCTTCACATCCATCACAGACAACATGGGGGTGAAGTTCTCCATTCTGTTCTTCTTGTTCTCTTTCTTCTTCTGCTAAAATAATTTTCAAAAATTTTGAATTTTCAATAAATGATCTATTTTTAACACGAATGGCAATTGTCTTGATCTAGAAAAATATTCCCAATTTATTTACAATAATTTCTGAAATGTAACTTCAAGACTTTCTTCCCAATTTAATATCCCCTAAAAGAAACAGTTCTACTGATAATGCCAGCAAGGCCCCACTCTTTCTGAACACCTTAATATGTTAGGCTCTACTTACCAGTCTTTTTCTCTTTAACAAAAACCTTTAATATTCCATTTTCTACGTAGCCTAGAGCTTCCAGTAATTCTTCATCAGAGGATAAAACTATCAACTCTTGTTCTGGGTCTAGAAACACAAAAATACAGTATAAGATAAATAATCAAAAATCTAAGTGGATTTAGGGTTAGTGTAAATATTTTATGCTGTGAACATTTCAAAAGTCAGAAATTTACAAGTTTCAATCAAATTTCTATCATTGCTTCAAGGCTTTATCAACATATTATTATTCAGAATTTAAGATCGTTATTTTAATAAGACTATGTACAGTACTGAATCAGCTTTACTTAACAACTGAGATTCTATGATTAAAATATTAGAAACTAGAAACGACATATTCAATTATTAAGCTTCTATTTCATTTCTAATATTTTCTCAGGAAATTACTAAAATATATTCTTACATTACAAAAAAAACAAGAATGTCAAAGAAACTTTACATACCTTTCCAATAAATCTTAAAATTTCCTCGACTGAGATTGGGGAAAACGTCAGCAACCTTCTTAAACAAGTAATCATAACTTGAAGAGGCATCGATAGGGACAGAAAATCGCCTGATTTCCAAACTTTCCTCTGGTCTCCGTTGAAAATAGGCTTTTACTACCATCTGCGACATTTTGGTTTTTGTTTTCCTTCGCTTCACAATTTAAAATTCTAATTTCGATAAATTTTTCACCGATTTTACAAATGACACTTCGTTATTTTGATATTTAAAGTTGTAAGGGTCTGCTATCCGTTCGAAAGAAAAGTTAGTTCTGAATTCTGAATGTAAAATTCGAGGTTTTTATGTCAACCGCCCGGCTGTCTCGTGACTTTGAGTCTAAATTGCTTAGTAAATAATGATTTAGATCTGTTCAATTTTACGACTTCTGCGCAACTTCCGCTGGTACTTGAGGCTCAATAAAGGTAAAACTAATATTAATTTCTATAAATATGTATTTTCGCTAAGTTTCACTGTACATTTTTTTTTTTCGAAATATAGCAAAATTTAATTCTTTAATTTACCGCAACAAAACATCTAAAATTTCGTAGAATATTTGAATAAAAAATTCTTTAAAAAGTACATTAGAAATATTTTTCCCCGATATTGCCTCAATACGTCATGTCTATTTTTAGCTACAATAACAATTACCTGTCAAAGTGGAACGGTCGAGATGACTCTAGATAGTTCTGCAGGTGGATGGTGCAATTTCCTGGGAAAACCAGAAATTCAGGTTTCTCAAATCTGCCATATCATCAAACTAATATTATATAATTATGCGCAGTTCTTGAGAATTTTTTCCCTAATCTGCCATGTCGTCTAACGTTTATTATATTATGCGCAGTTTATGAGAATTTTTTGTCCCCCGTTATGCACCACAATGACCCCTGTAAATTTTCTTATATAACATACATTTTTTTAAAGAAATGCTTAATTTCTATTCTCCGAACAAATCACAATGTGTTTTGGAATTTTTTCAATATATTAGAAATTTGAATATAAACTTCAAAATAGTACTGTTAGTCTTAGAATGACACATTTCCGTCCTAGAAATTTCAAACAAAAAAGTCAAAACTTTAGTCGAAAATTGTCGACTGTAAAAACAAAATTTCAAGACATAATGTGAGCTTATGTTTATATTTTCACCAATACAAAAACATTCTAAGATTTACAGTACTATTTTGAGGCTGATATTTCAATTTTCATTAGGGAATAAATTCGTCAGACTAGTAGTTTGTTTTTCCTTTAGAAATATGAAAATATTAAAGTTTCTGCCAATTCCGTACAAAACATGAGATAACAAATTTACTCTGACTTTATCATACCTTTCCGCATCTGCTAATGAAGACGGGAAAGGGGGAAAGGGGAGAATGGGGGACTGGTGGGTATGGCTGCTCTGGGGAGGAGTGGGGCAGAAAGAAAAACTATCGATAATAATTTAAGTATAAGTTATTTTATTTATTTTATTATCTTTTAATCATTCATTCATCCGTTTCTCTCATTCATTCATTCAATCTTAATTTATAGAAATCACACTTGCACATTCCGTCAAGACAACCAAATCCTTCAAAAGTGAAAAATAGAAATGAAATATTCATGCAATTGGTTGTACAATTTGGCAGGTTTGATAGAAAAAATGTTCTATTCAACCAAATCCCTAAAGAATATCAAAAAGAAAAGACATTTTCATGCAGTAGTTGTATAATATGGCAGGTTTCACCCTTATAATTAATTTCAACCAAACCAACCAAAAGTGTCAACATTGTAATAAATACGCAGGCTGTAGTTATACAATTTGGCAGGATTCGTACCTAGAATTCAATTCAACCAAAACCACAAAAAGTGTCACCAATGTAATGCAATTCTCATGCAGTGGTTGTACAATTTGGCTGGTTTGGTAAAAATAATAATTTAAGAAACCAAACTCACCAATAGTGTCTCTATTATAATTACACTTTCATACAGTACTTGTATATTTTGGCAGGTTTGATAGAATAAATAAGTAAGTTCAACCAAACCTACCAATACTTTATTCAAATTGAAGACTTTGTCATACTGTGATTGCATTTTGGCATGTTTGATGGAAATACTATTGATTTGATAGTACTTTATGTGTATCACCAACTCTGCCAAAATATACAATCATTGCATGACTTAGTCATTACTTTGAGGACACTTTTGTTGGGTTTGGCAGTACACAATGTAAAATACTGAATTTGAAATATGCAGGAGGGCTATATAAAAGTTTCTACAAAGTTCTATTAAATTTCATCCTTTCTCTTGTTGAAATGAAATGGAGTTTTACATCCTATTTTTTGGACCTGATTAGAGTCAATGAGGGATGGGCATGCCACATTTTCTATGTTTACTGCCAGGCAACAATCTGAGGTATAATCTCTAACTATGCCTGGATTAAACACTGTATCTTCAGGTTACCAAGCTACCATGGCCCATTCCAATTGTTGAAGAGTTCAAGACAATCTTGGAATTTGCAAGATGTCTGCTTAAAGAAGAGAAACAAAATAAAATAATATAAATACGGTATGCCAATCAATATTAATTGATAAGGGACAGAGGGCAGGATTCGCTAAATTTAAATAACGCATCACTACTTTCACTTTCGCTCATTACAGTCTCGCAGTTTATTTCTTCGGAGTTGTCATTGGTTGAAAATGGTGGTTGGGCGGGATCACAGGTTGTAAATGATGTTGAATTAGTTTGAAATGTTAATGGATCCATACATTTCTGAAATGACTGAACCTCGTTTTGAAATTCTGGAACATTGTTTGAAAAAGTCGTCTGATGAATCTGTGCCATTCCTCCATTTTGAAAATTGTTATTTTGACTATTTGATTGGTCCGTTCTAGCACTAATTATATTCGACGTATTTTCACTATCACTTATATCTTCATAAAGTTCAAGGTTGCCTGGCAACGACTTGTCAATCAAATCCAACATATCACAGGGGCTTGAAACTTTTTCATTCAAAATGGAGGACGGATTGGAGGCACTGACATTTTCAGATATTAATTGACTGTTCCCATCACCCACTGGGTCGACCGTTGTGTTCCCATCATGCACTGAGTGAGCCACAATGTTCCCATCATGCAATGGGTCAACCGATGCGTTCTCATCACACACTAGATCGGTCCTTTCCACTGAATTGTCTGCTGCAATAGTTGAAGATTCCTGAGAAGTATTTAAACTGAAACTTTGCAATGGATCAACACTGACTTTTGTGCTGCTTGCAAAATCAGAGTCTTGCAAAGGTGTTTTTTGAAGATTATTGTTATTTGCATTTAATTCTTGCAAATTTGGGTCTGGCAAAATCTGCGTATTGTTTTTGTGCAGTGAAGTGTTCTTAGCCTCGTTATCACAGTCGAATTGATTCACATTTCTATCTCGCAGTAAATTTGTTGCGGGATCAATGTCAAATTCTTGATCTATAGGTTCGTCCTCCGGCAACTGATCAAGATCAACACCCTCAGCACCCTCTATTGGAGTATTTGAACGACTAGTATTAGAGCTGGACGAATCACTGATTAAATCCACTACTTGATCACTGTTACCATTAGCAACCAGACTCGACGCTTGATCAGACATGCTAGAGGACCCAACTGATTGTGATTCGTTTAAATTCCGTAAAGACGATAACTCATTGTCTGAGTTTTTAATCGACATGTCGAAAACATCTGAGTCTTTTATCTCTTTTTCACCAATTTTCCGAGTTTTGGAAAAACTTTCTATAGCTTCAATGACCCTAGCAACCAATCGAGCTGGAGTGTTATCTTTACGAAGTTCCAGAGCTTCTTTTATCGTATCTTCAGAGAGACCAGACTTCCACATTTCCTCTGAAATTGAAAGAGATACTAGTCAGAGAGGCACAGAGTTATATAGGTTATTGAAATGAAATACAAACAAAGCTTGTGCTATAGAAGGTGCTCTTTAAAAAGCCTTTAACAGTTTGATATGCAAAAAAGAACTTCTTTAATAGTTTGAGACAGATTAATCAGATAGAATTTCCCTCATTGCACAAGGCATGGTGCTGCTCTATCATACCTACCCATAAGATCTATTATCTTCTTCAATAGAAACTGGTGTTTCTTTCTCTCCTTGACTAAAACCTCTGATAACAATATCGACCCCTCCTCTTCTTCTGTTATTATATTAGTCGCCTGCAATCCAGGATAAAAATATAATGTAATGTAAAACCAACATGTCCATTAAGGAGAGATATAAAGCTTGTTTTAAAAGCATGTTTCAGTACCATAAATTGAGAATGTGGTCATTTTCGCTATGTTATTGACATTCTCAAAGAAGATAAACCTCCCTTTATTAGATTACTTTACATACCTCTCGTAAAAGTTTTTCTTTAAACACATTGAAAGCCCCTGTTGGTTCAAAATCAGGAACAACGATACATTTCAAACGAATAAATAGAGCTCTCATCTGCTGCCTTCTGATCTTCTCTCTGAAACGAATGAATGAATGAATGTGGCTGTCCAGGCCTCATTGCCAAAATACAGGCTACTCTAAGGGATAAAATTAAGAAATTTTAGGGCTACTTAAGGGCTAAAATTAAGAATTTAATAACCAGATTCGGGTGGGAAGTTTAAGACGGTTATATGGATTACTTTTGCTCATTTGAATAAGAACTTACCAAAAAATTTGAGCACCTCCCCTATTGTTGAGTTGTGAGGGTGGGGTGAATGAATAAATGGACATTCATACAATAAATATTAGTAATGAGTGCAGTTCATCTTTGTAAGAGCAAAAGCAAAAGCCCCATTTGCTTAACATTTAGAGGCTTCTAGTGAGTGCTAAATTTCTATGAATATCAAATGAACTTTGCCTACATCTAGAATTCTTTAAAAATGTCTAAATAACTTACAGTTTATTGTGGTAGTGTTTTTTAATAGTGCTGCCATCTTCCTGTGAAAATAAAATAAGAGATTTAAAGAGAGATTCAGAGTTCAAACCTGTATCATCATTTCAGCAAAAGAACCAAAGAGTCAAGAGATAAATTAAGGCCACAGCAAATGTGTTTTCAGTAAGGATCCTGTTTACATGGCTACAGGGGAAATAATCATAAAATCGGCATAGACAATATGGACATCGATTTTTCGAAGTTTTTCTGCTTAGCGAATGACAAGAGAACATTGATGTAACGTTACAAACCTCTTGAAAATCTTTTAACCAATTATGATCGCCGACACCAGACGACCGGCTATCATCATCCTGAAGTTCTGATAAACTGAACTCATCTGCTCCTATATCTAAATCCTCTTCTGAACAGACGTCATTTTCAATGATAAAATCATCACTGGATGTCATATCTTTGGGGGAAGATTTAGAAACTTTGCTTTTTGATCCAGAATTATTCATACTCAGATTAATCGGACTATTTTCAGCAACAGCTGGACAAGCGATCAGTGGCGTAGGAATATTTGGATTAAAATGGCTGCCTATTTGAATGGGAACTGCTATCAGGTCTTTCGACGAATCTTTTGTTGCATTGGCTGGTACCATCACATTTGGAGACACAAGTTTCAAAAGTTTGCTTTTCCCATCTGATGTTTTTAAATTCTTTAAATCGTTTAATTCAAACGGACCAATGATTGTTGGAGCGTTAGCACTGCTTGTCACATTCTTAATTTGACCTGCGTCAGATTTTATCACATTCTCCATTTTTTTAGTTTTCTTTTTTTTCGGTGGCTCTGATTGGTCTTTCACTTTGTCACGTTTTTTACGTTTTTTTGCTAGTGTTTTATTTTTTGTCTCTTCTGCTTCATCATTGGTCAGATCCACGACCTCAGAAGTATTGGCAGACAGCTTGGGTAAACTGAATTTTTTACTTGTATCAAAAGTTGATTGTTTGAATTTATTCTGACCTGGCTGGGATATTTGAAAACGACTGAAGGCCGAGATACTTCCTGTCGGCATCGAGGCTGAAACAGGGGGAGCACTAGTATTAGCTGCTGAGGAATAACAATTAGATTTTCCTAAAATCGGCACCGCCAGAATGGGACGTTTTGGAGTTGCTCCTGTAGCACCATTTTGTGGTTGTTTGCTGGTTGGCAAGATATCTTTTCGTGAGGTCACTTTAATCCTGATAGAGTACATCATCTCCGGCAGTTTCGATTTCAATTCAGGGGGGATAATTGGAGGTTTCTTAGCTTGAGGAAGAATTTCCACACAAAAATCTCCCACGGCTAATTGTCGCGGTGTTGGATAGAGTCCTGGACGTAAACATTGAGCGACACGTTTGAGAATTTGAGGTTTTGACATATCCCAATTACAATTTGCAATAAATTCTAACAATTTGATTTCTTCAGGTAGTTTTGAGTCACTATTTTTTGCTGCATTTTGGTGAGGTTTCAAACAAACCATTTGTGTATGCCAGCGACATTCCAATTTTCGAGCAAGAGATTTTTGAGCTTCATTGAGCTTGGAATCAACACTTTTTAGGTTTTTGGCAGCAGAATTCGAAACTGCTCCTTTCAACTCTGTTCCTTGAATGAAACTCTTAGCGTCTGAAATCAAGGAATATTTTTCCTGTTCTTTTAATAACTGTTCGCGTAATAGCTTCTGACGTTCCAGTTTTTCAACTTTGATTCCGCTTTCTTCAATTAAATTGGATCCAGATTCTATTTGATTGGGTTCTGATTTAATTTTATTCACTGCGTCTGCCCCATTTCGTAAAACAGCTTCTAACACAGAACCTTTATTTTTTGAATGAAGTTCTTGTAGTTTTTTCAGCGGTAGATCCATAGTTAGCAGACGGCTTAATTCACATCCAGCCTCTTCAACAGAATCCTTGATTGCTTCCACTCCAGACATCTCAAACTCATCTGATTTCTGCTCCATACTCTGCTTTCTGCTTTTTCTGTAAATGTACAGAATTGAAATATATTTTCAGGTGTGAAAAGGTTAACAAGATTACCCTGAGTTTTGTTTCTGAAAACAGGATATGACAAACTTTTTTTGATTCCCAAATTACACAAAGGAGTGTAGATGAAATAAAATGGTTGTTTTACCCTTGACAACGGATTATAGAAGTGCAGCTCTATTGTTTAACTTCAAGTAGAAAGATTGAAAATATGAAACAGACGACACCCAAATTACAAACGGGAATGTAATGACAAGATGACTACATACTTTTTAGCAGGCTGCTTAGTGTCTGTAGAATCTGATGCCAGGGTGGGAGATTGAGTTGGCATGGAAACAGGGATTGATATGATCTGGTCTTCATCATCATCTCGCTCTATCACCACTTCAGGCTGCGCTGTGTCGCTCTAAAAATGAATCACATAGAAAACTTACGGCATGATATCTTTTCAAACTTTACTTATTTTTGGTTTCCGTATTAAAGATAGTGGACCACAGCCATATACGCCCACCACCGCATGCGGGTGGTAAATATTCAAGATTTTGGGGCAAGGGAAATAACTCTGCTTCTAACGGTCGAAAATAGCTCAAATTCAAACTTGATCTTCGTTGTATGAATGTGTATACACATACCATCAAAAAATCTAGTTTTTGGAGCGTTTACAAGCAAACGGACGGACGGATGGACCGACGGACAGAAGTGCCGACAATATACGTCCACATAGAGAGATGGGTCAAAATTGTAAAGAGATTCTGTGAATTTAATCTGCATTATTCTAATTTTCCATCAGGTCTCTATACTAATAGAAATGCTTAACCATGTATGACATAACTATTGCAAAAGAAAATAACAACCAAGGACCTTAGACTGGAAAGATATCTTAAACTTCATTGTAGCAGTATCTCAAAATATTTGAAAACATTTAAATAATTTTTGAGTTGCCTACCTTTCGTTTTCTATTGGAGCGTTGTTCGCTGTAACATTCTGAGACACTATAAACCATCATTGCTTTACGATTCACAGCATCCAGATTCTTAGCAACACGATAAGTTGATTCACGCTTCGGTAAATTACTGAATCGTTCTGTTCTTTTCTTTCCCATTTTCTGTTTGTATTCAGGATCGTCATCCTGGTCGATTGAGACTACTACAGAATCATCCACAGACTTTCGTTTCTTGCGTTTTCCACTTTTGTTTTGTTTAGATTTATCATTCATCTTTGAAGAAGCAGAAATATTATCTGCCTCTAAATCTGTCACTGAGTTATCACCCTTTGCTGGTGTCACTTCACTAGTTTTGTCCGTCTGTTTGATCTTATCACAGATGCACTCTAACATACATTTAGCTTTCCCGCAATGAGGTATCCGTGTTCGCGAAGCAATGACTTTATGACCAAGACTATCACATATACAACCAAGTCTACAATATTCTTTATCACAAACTGTCGTCTGCTCTTGGTTGTCTGGTTCATCCAGTGGTGCCAAGTTACACAGATGGCAAATACATCCAAAATGGCAACCTGGAAAAACAAATTATTGAAAAAATGCTTGAAAATAAAACAGAAACCTTCTTAACTGAGTGAGACAAAACTCAACTGAAGGAAAATGGTAACCAAATAAAACAAAAAACTTCAAAACTGCTTAAAAATATAACAGAAATTTTTATATGTGAAACAAATGTCCACCACACAAAAAAATGCACTTAAGTCTACCACATGAACATTTGCATTCTTCAGGATTAAATCTCTAGGATATACCAAAAACCCAACTTTGCAGAATTTATTTGCAGAAATTCCATTTTGGGTATTACTCCCCCACCCCACAAGTCCCACAACTTTCCCAAAAATTTCAAAGAACCAACCTAATTTATCGCAGCCTGTTTTCCCATTTCTTACAGTAGAGTCTTTACAATCTTCTTCCTCATTTTCCTCAAGTAATCCAACTTCTGGTATTTCAACAGCCTTGACTTCAATTTCAATGTCCTTGAACTTTTCATCAAAGTCCTTGACCTCTTTCTTAATGAACTTTTCGTCAACCAGTTTGAACTTTCCATGTACCAGTTTGACCTCTAGATCAATTGGCTTCACTTCTTGATCGAAAGGCTTCACATCTATGTCATCTGATTTGACCTCAAGGTCAACAGCCTTAACCTGAACTTCGACAATTTCATTGTCATCAATTTTTTCATCAAGATCTTCAGGAAGTTCCTCTACCCCACTCTCTTTATCAGAAGTTTCTGGGGGTTCGACAGCTCTCAAGGCATCATCCAACATAGTTTCTGACATGGCGAGGGCTAAATCTTTCTTTTTACGTCGGTTACGCTTTTTCTGAAATTATAAAATTTTAAATATTATAGCATCCATTACACTTTTATATGCTTTATCAACTTTTGGACTTCAATATATATTTATATATTAACCAGTACGTCAACCAACTTTTCGTAATGCAAAAGAGAATTATTTCAGAGTATTGAATTCTCTTGGTTTACCTTCCTTTTTTATCACAATTTGTTAAAGATCCAACCATCTCCGTAAATCTATGTTTTCTGTTTGTACATCATCCCATACGAGGATATTAACTCAAGCTATGTGGATTAGTTTTAGACAAATCACATTATGACAATCATTTATTAATTACCTTTTCCTTAGGTGTGTCTTCCCCATCTTCTATTTCTCCATCTTTCCCTTTCTGTACAATGACTCTCCTTCCTCCAAGTTTCAATATCACCTGTTCATCTTCCTCATCATACCCCAGTTTCTTAATCATTATCTTTCTTAAAGCTCGACTTAATTCTGAAATAAAATAAACATTATATGAATTAGGAGTGAATGGGTCAGGGATTTAGTGTCTCTAGTCCCGTGGGACCTGTGGGTAACTGACTGTGCACATGAAAGATTCAATTTGAATTTTTAAAGGTCATTGTTAGCTTAGCTTAAAAAATTCCAATTTCTGATTGTTCAAACGGATGGTGAACATGTCCCTTTAATCCCATTTCCTAGGCATGCCAATAAAAACAGTTATCTGTTCAGTTCAACGACATGCAATGTACATTTCAAATTTTCCAATCAAACAACTTACGAGGAATTTCTGGTAAAGGAGGGACCATCGCCTCCGTATACTCCACAACCATTGGTCCATATACTTCATCTTCATCAAATTCTACCTCACTACCAGAAGAGTTCAACACTATTGGGTCGTCCTCGTGACCAGACCAGTAATTCTCCTGTTCATCAAGGGAGGTAACTGTAGCTGACTTGTTCTTTTTACCTGTAATGTCAAATGTGCAAGGAGGAAATGTGACCAAATGTTTTTGTGCAAATTTGAAGTAGGTTTGAATAGATTGCACATAGTGGAATAACGTAGACATAGGTGAGTGTTGAATAGTCGTCTGCAAGGCAATTAGGTGCCATGGGTTCTAATCATCATCAAGGTTAGCTAAATTCTGTAACCACCAGGGCTTATATAGTCAGGTTTTATACCACTATCATAATTTACCTGAATGTGAGCCGAGTTTATTTTTAAATTTTAACTTCCAGCCTTTAATCTTGGTAATATCGCTAGTTTTCTGGGGTTTAATATCTTCTTCCTCTTCTTCTTCAGCATTAAATATAGCCGTCAATTCTCTACAACGAATATAGAAAATTCAAATATTTTTACCATGAAGGACATGACTTTTTTTTAAGCATTCTTCAGGTGTTAACATTTTCTTCTAAAAAACACAGTTTTTTCTCTCATATATCCTAACAAAGAAAACCAAAGCAATAAAATAACCATAGATATAATGAACTAAAATTCAAGGTAAATAACTCTTGTACTACTAACTCACCTATGAAACAATCTCTGATATTTTTTCCATCTCATATGTTGTCCACGTAGAGTCTTTAATTTACCGTGCGTTGGGGTCTGCCCTTCTTTAACACTCTCTGATGGCTCGTGAGATTCATGTTTCTGTACCTCCAACATTCGAGATATTCCTAAAAATGTACTGGTGTCCTTATCCCATTTTGCTTTCGTTTCAACTTTAATATGAGCCTGAAAAAGAAAACAATTGCCAATAATTATATCTAGTGTCTATATTCATATCGAAAATTCAACTGGATAAAGCCAGCAATTGCAGCAAAGTTGCCTTGATTGGTCAGAAAAGAAATAAATAAGGAAAGAGGTTTAATTCAAAGTTGTTTGGCTTTAATTCCTTGATTTGATGGGTCATAAATGCCTATCACACAACAGTTCTGTTTCCAGGTTCATAATGCAGGTTCAGAAAAATGAATATGATATGAACTTGTAGCCTAGGTTAATAATACAAATTATGTTGGTCTGATAAAATAACACGTTCATGTAAGACTTTAAGATAATTGCTTATGGTAATATGAAATTTAATTTAATGCATGACTAAACATTAAAGCAAGCAATCCACATATTGACTGACTATAATAATTACCTGTAAGGCCTCTTCCGTAGAAAATGATAAGAACAGAGCTCCATCCACCTCATCAAAATCAGGTTCAAAACATTCGTATTCGTTCTTCTCGTCGGCTTTGAATTCTGGCGACTGTTTTTCTAGTTTGATCGAGGGCGGAGTTGGCAGAGTATTCTTCTCTAATCCTAGAAACCTGTTGGTTGGAACAGCCAAATATTTCTCCAAGTCTAAACTGAAGAAAGCTGAATTTTTATCTTCAGAAGTTTCATGTCGCGACAATATGGAAATTGGTAAAGGCTCCTTAGTTTCTTGGTTTTTCTTCGATTTGGGGGAAACTTCCGTCAAGCTATTTTCGGCACTGCCAGGAGAACTCTTAATAGGTGTGGTTGTATTGCTTGATAAAGGCGCCAGACGTTCAAATAAAACTGATTTCGGTGTTGATGTCTTGAAGTTGACATTGTCTATTTTGTCTTTGCTGGTTGCCATGTCAACTGGCGTTTGACGACCCTTAAGTAAAAGATTGCACAAAATATTTCCGAATTCTGGTGAAGGCTCTGCTTCTTTTAAGTCTGTTTGTCTTGAGTTCGCAAAATTCACGTCCATTTTTGCATCCTTTGCATCCATTTTGTCAATATTTTCACAAGATTCCTTTTCCTCAACTTTTTCGTTCAGATTTTTCATTTCTCCTGCAGATTTTGAACAACTCTCCATGCCTTCACTTGTGTCCATTGATTGAATATCTTCATCCTGTTCCGAGTTATTTTGAATCTCATTCGAGCTTACTTTCACTTTTATTGGAGTTTCATTTAAATTGTCTGCATTTTCAGGGGATACTTTCCCCTCTGGTATAAGCTCTTCTGTATCTTTAGAGCTCGATGCTGTGTCGCTGACAAGAGGGAAAATATCATCCTCAGGTTTTTGTATTACATATTCACCAATAAATCTAGTCTTTAAAACTTCTGGAGTTTTGCTGCCTGCAGTTGGCTGAATCTTATTTCTATCTGCTTCATTCTCAAATCCAGACACAAGTTGGGGTTCATCCTTATCAGCATCGTCAATCCTGTCTTCTGCATCTTGAAGAGTTTGTTTTTCAACCACAACACTCGAACAGGATGGTTGTGTGGCACTACAAGACGGTAAACACTCAGTCGAGTCATTTAATTTCGTGGACAAATTTTCTGAATCAGGGCTATCGCACGCGGGTAAAGTTTCATCACTGCTGTTACCCGGTTTTGCCACCGTTTCCTCCGGGTGACCAGATTTCACAACTTTTCCAGAATTTATAACTTCCTGTGGAATCTTTAAGCGATTGTTCATACGGGAGATAAGTTCGTTCAGAGATAAATTAGGAGATGAATTTAGCGTTGAATTTGATAAATTTAGACTAGATATTGAATCACTGTATGTTAAAGGCTTACAATCATTTTCATTTGATATTTTTCCTTCACAATCTTTAAAGCTATTCCCTGATAAATTTAAACCTTCAGAATTTTGAACAAATGATAACTTTCGTACAGCTGAAATTTCTTCATTTTTTTGCAATTTCTTTGGATCTGATTTTTTGTCTGTTTTAGGCGAAGCTCTCGCTTTCCGATGATCCACCAATGGTAAAAGGATCATGTCATCTGTTAAAAGTTTCGGAGAACGGATTCTTTTCTTTTCAACACTAAGTTCATCTTTGATTTTAGGACTTCGTTTAGGACATGTTTTGGACTTTCCACAAGAGCCTGGAGATTTGGAGCTCTTTTTCTTCTCAGGACTGTTATCTCTGCTTGATTTGGGTGACTTTGACATTGGTGATTTTGCCAATGTAGGTGATTTTGTCTTTTTGTTTTTCGGACTGGCTTTTTTCTCCCCACCATTCTCTGAATCATCCTGTGATTCCAATTTTTCAAAAATATTTTTAGGTGATTTGATACGATTAGATTTTGGAGATTTTCGTTTTTGAGAAGTGAGATTTGTGTTGAGACTAGCTGGTTTTCTTGGAATTGGTAGTTTCTTTGACGATTCTGTTTTAACAGTAGAGGTCAAGCTAGGGGTCACACTAGGGGTCAAAAGGTTAGCGTTTGGATGTAAGGGGAGACTGGATAAATCAGGTTTAATGTCTTCCAGCTCTTCAATTTCTTCTTTTTCATGGTGATTATTGTCTATAAATAGAAATGCATGTACTAAGTCATCATTGTTTGAACCATGCCCCCTTATCAATCAATACATGGAACCCTTGTTCACTTTATCCAAATAGCTTTGTATGATATAGTGAATTTCATATCATTCAAAAGGACCCTCACCCATCGTGTATGTGTTCACAAGTTGAACTAAGTGGAATACTCAATGACCTTCATATCAAGTCAAGGTCACTGAAACTTTGAAATGGAATTATCAGGCTAAGGTAGTTGGGTAAAAAATGAAATGAAATGAATGGAGTTTTACGTCCTACTCGGTAGTTGGGTAAAGCCATGCAGTATGCAGTGAGAGGAAATGAAAATTAAATAAGGAACTCACAAGATGTTAAGGAAGTCTGTTTAGATGTTTTCGGCGCGACACGTAAAGGTTTCTTCTCTGATTTCACTTCACTGGAAACATCAGGCTCGATCTCTGACTTGTCCTTGACCTCCAGTGCACTTCCCGGGGCTTCCTCATTACACCAGGGGGCACCACCTAGACTTTCAGCTTGCCGTCTATTTTTCGCTTCTTCTGCTTTGACTTTCTGCAGTTCTTTCTTTTTAGTTCTGGCCATTACACAAGTCCAAACTGAAAATTTAAGAAACAAATTTATATTTTTCAAGTTTGTCGATGATATTTAATTTTAATGTTTCTTGTGACCTTGTCTTGTGTTCTGGAGGTATATCAGAATGCCCTAATTATGAGCTGTATTCATCTCCATTAAGATATACTGTGTGCAAGGACTAAGTGACCTAAAAGAGATTGTAAAGAGGTTTTATCAAAAATGAAAACATTTATGTGTACCAGAGTACACTGATTATCAACAATTTGCACTATTTCAATTTTCAATCAGATGTCTGAGGTTCCACAATTTCACTAGAACTAAGTGTTTTATGACATTACTAATCTCAAAGGGCCTAATGTGACATTTAAGCATATTTTGCGAATTGCAGGAACCACAGAAGTCTGATTGAAAATCAGAGCGCTGCAATTGGGATATCAGTGTCCCAGATTGGGCAAATACACATAAAAAATTTACAAAACCTCTTTTCAATCCCTTTAATTTATCCAGTGGTAATGGTAAGGAAAATAATAAAAGTAAAAAATAAGGAAACCCATCTTTAAGTTGTACACTTGACTTTGTTGGTTCAACAAAAATTATAAGTAAACGATGCCTACCTAAAAGTACAACTGACTGTAAATAAACATGGTTTGTCTACATCTTTATACATCCATATTACTTAATATTTGTTACTTTTCACAATATCTATAAAATATAACATAAAAGTATAAACATGGCATTATCAATCAGTTATAATTTCTAATTTCAAACAAGAGTAGAACAGTAGATACTAAAACTTAGTTAAAAAGAAGCCTATAAAACTCTTTATGCTTCCAAAACACAGGCATAGGTATCAGGGATGATGATTTGCTAAATTTTCCTGACATTTTTTATCAGTTGATCAATAGACCCTTCGTAATTGTGATTCAATGTCAGTAGAAATGCAAATTTTGCTGAAAACTACCTTAATCAATCAATATCAGTAACCTAAAACCATATATTTGACTTCTATTATTTTAAATTCACTGTGACATCATGTTCACAATGTCAAGCTACGAACTATGTCTAATACCTTGAATGCAATAGCCACCTTTCTTGTATCGCAGAAGTTTATAAATGCAGCAACTTGATTGGATTGTATGCTAGCAAATACAGCCACAGAGGCCTTGACAGAAAGTCTGTATACATAAAATGTTCATAGGTTCGCAGTCCCGAAAGCAAGTTATACTAGCAAAAATCTCATAACTATGTTAGAAATTCGGGCAATCTTAGATACCCCCCCCCCTTGGAATTAATCCTGGCTCTGCCACTGAGTATAAGACTACATCATAATAGCTTGACATTGTAAGGATGCTGTGACCTGGGTCAATGCTTTATCAATACACCCTTTCTTATTAGAAAAAAAATTTAGGTCAGATTTCACTGGTCCTTGAAAAATGTTTAATTGTTGTCAAAAAAAAAAATCAGTAACTTTTAAAAGGACTGGTACTCTGTTTTTTAGGGTTGATTTTAGTCTTGAATATATGTAAATAGTCTTCAGAAATACTATAAATGTACGAAAATCACATATCTTCATTAAAATTACCAATTTTACTCACTTTTTCCATATATATTTTATGTATCACAGAGTATCTTAGATACTCAAATTTTGACGGTGAGCTGTGAACATGATTATTGATTAGCTCAGCTAAAACATTCTAGTTTCTGAGACTAAAGTATGATTGGCAAAAACAAATGGGCTACCTGTCCCTTTGAGTATAAGATAACTACTGAGAGTGATAATGAACTCAATTTTAAAAGGTCTAAAAATGACTGACTATTACTCAAATAGCAAGTAGTTATTTATAATTTAGTTCCTGCTTGGTGTTTATTATGCAGGGCATTGTTTAACTTCCTGGTTATAGAGGGATACACTTACTATACACAGCCCCCTCGTTAGGATGGGGTCTGTGGGGGCAGGGTCCCAGAAAGTTAATATTAAGCCCCAGCAAAACATTTTTCAGTTCAGAAAAAGATTGATTCATTTAGAGTGTTTTTGTACAAAATCAAAAAGATACATTTTTGGCACCTCAAAATTGTCAGAAATTCTTCGAATTTTTTAAGTACAAAATTTGAGCCTCAGTAACAATTCATTTCTGGCGAGGGGGCTGCACATAGCTTTCCATTGTGAAAGGGGTATGTTCATCATTAGTTTGACCAATCTACCTTAGTCTCAGAAGTGGATTTTTTTTTTTATAAACTTAATAGTTATAGTGTTCACAGCTCAGTCAAAATTAGAGCCTTCAAATCCATGTGTGTGCAGAATATTCCGCATTTGAATGTTAAAATGACGATTCGTCTTTTTATTTCAGACTCTTGTCATATATAGAAAATAGAAAGGAAAGTTCATACATTTCTAAAGATTATTTATGTATACTCAAGACCCAATGTCAACGATCTGTCCTTTTAAGCTATAACAAATTGTGAAGATGGAACAAATAATGATTCACACTTAATGTTTCTCCCTCCTGTTCAATGAGTATGCTTGCTTATTTGCTTCAAGCCTTTATTAGAAAGATATCATGGTTTGCCATTTTAGGGGATTGATTTCAGTCGTGACTTGTGAATATTAACTTTTTTCCAAAATAAAAAAAATCCTGATGACGATTCAATTTCGAGTTGAAATTAAATTTTTTGCTACTAAATTAAAATTTGGATTTGCATTCCATAACAATTCATTAGCAATATCAAAAATCCTAAAAATGACAAAATCACCATATACAATTGGTTGATTTTGGCTAATCAAAAACAAAACGTGGATCACAAAATGTGTCATAACTTGCAAAAATATTTCTTTAGAGTTTATTTCGAAAATGTTATTTGCCTACCCATGAAATGTAGAGATCTAAATGCAGTCACTGAATGTCATCAGGTGTTCCTGTTTTTCAGAATAATTTTGATAATTGTTCAGCAAGTAGGCCTAGGCCTATAGTATATTGCTAAAGCCTTCAAATTTAAAAAAAAGTTAAATAAAAAGTTCAAGGAGGTCTAGGGTATATGATTTTAAAAGGGATCATTTCACTTAAATCACCTTTCCCCACTAGCTGTTTCAACAATACACAACAAGATAGACAGGGGTGTCAAACACTTCACCAGATTTACCTTCTACCCAGTAGTCAAGGTAACATAACATTGTCTCTAAATATCTTAATTTTCTGTTTCTTTACAAACTTTCCATCAATTTTGTCTCAAAATCTATTAATCATAAAGTTATTCTAAACGTTGAGTGACCGCTTGATGTAACACAAGGACAAAACCCAAATATCGTAAAAGCGGGAAACACCCAGTGCGGTATATTCTTTTGATCTTTACTATACGAGGTTTTTTAACGCACGATTGCATCAAAATTTACATTTTTTGATGCTTTGGAATCTAAATTATCAAAATAAATCGATTTAGTTCTTGGAAAGTCTCTAAATATGGGAGATAAGTGTTAAAAAAATTTCTTCGATTGGCCAGAAATCTGTTAGCAAAGCATGCACTATTAGTACGCAGACGGCCTGTTCAACATAACGGTCGCTAAGGTGAAAACTTTGATCGTCTGTCGTTTTTCACCCGCGTTCCCTCTTTCTCCCAACTTTCAGATTTTGATAATATACACTATAAACTATCGAACCGGGGTAAAATTCGAGAAATAATCGAACGTTTAGAATATTATTTTTTCATTTGAAGAAACTTACAGAATTAAGGCGGCCATGTTTTCTGGTCGAATGTAATTCGCGGTGCAGACTGGGTAAATATTCTACAGCCACGTGTGGAATCACGTGACATTACCATAAGTAGGTCATTGCTCTAAAATTATTATAAAATTACTCTTTTTATAACATCAAATACTGTTAACCTGATGAAAATTGGCAAAAATTAAACTTACCACGAAAATCTCCGGCCTTTATTCTTTCAAATGATATATTTAGATATGAATAAAAGATCGGAATTGAACGAAATTTGGTAGTTGAAGTGGGGTGGTGTCGACGAGAGTAAACTGGTCTATATTATTGTCCGGGTATATCACAATGTATCGTATATTGCCTTCGTTTGTTATTATACGCAATATGTGTGTCAGTAAACTCAACCAGACCTGCATTCGATACAGGAACAACACCGAAACGCTGTTGTCGATATATTTACACAAATTGTACAAATCTAAACACAATTTTGTGACTGTATTATCAATATTTTGACATAAATGCGTCCCTTATTTGTAGAAATACTGTAAGACCTTACCTACGACCTTGGGCAGATATCGTCGGGTTTCAACAGCTACAACGGACATCGAATTATAACATAATATAGGTTAGGGTCACTTTCATATTGGAAATCGTTTTTATTTCAAAATTTATCATAATATCACTTATTTTACAATAATTTACTTAAAATTTCTCGGAATTTTATATCGACGAATTGTTCAAATAACAGTACAAAATAATAATTACGAATCTTGATGAACATTAGAGCAATGTGTTGCGCTTGACAAGTCCAATTTAGTTGACCCCACACTCGAAATATGGCGAATATAATCAAAAAAAAATTGCCCAAAACTTACGAAATCGGTAAATACAACCAAACGGATATATAGTTTGTGTATTTGACTGCTGATGTAGACTAATCGACCAACTCGTAGTAGTTAAATAGATAGATTACTCCCGTCAAGTAGGCCTGTAAAACTGTGATATCTTAGTTAGTTATAGGCCTAGATGACTATTAGTCACACAGAAATAGCGAAAACAAGGTACGGCTTCTCTAGATATTTTGCAGTCGATATCAAGTCCCAAAATATCAGAGCAAGATTGCACGAAATAGGCCATTTAAAAAACAAGAAATACTCTCAAAAATGATAGTCGGGCTGTCGAATTCAGAATTCAAATCATTTTATGATTTGTCTGACACTAGAGAGTGAGGGCAGACGCCGGACCGACTCTCACAGGCACAGGTACAGGAATCAGAATTTTTCTTACCTTTAGAGTGTACACAAG